GGGAAGCTCCCTTCGCCATTTCACCAGGGTGAGGCGTGTTAGACAGAGGGTTTTGTCCCTGACTCCTGACTGTTCTAGAGACTGCCCAACAGCAGTCAATAACTGGTAAAACCTTAGTAAAATGCTGTGCACTTCCTGCAAAGTAAAAAGAGAAGGTCAGTTCCAAGATACATCCCAGCTGGCCTAGATGTGCTAAGGTCTCAGCTAGCTTAGGCTGCAGGCCCAGCTGAGGCTACCTTCAGGAGGTTAAATAATAAGGTGGACCTTTATTATCTTTTTTCCATCACCTGTATTATCTTTTTTCCAATTTTTTATTACAGAATTTAAAACTTCTTAAAAAGTAGAGAGAATATTATGAACCCAATGTGCTCATCACCCACGTGTAGTAATTACCAGCTCAAGGCCAGTCTTGTTTCATGCATACGCTACCCACTTTCCCCAAAATCGTATTATTTTGAAGCAAATCCCAGGTCTCCTATCATTTCATTCTTAAATATTTCAATATATATAGTACCTCTTAACTACCCTCTTTGTAAAATTAGGATGTTTGTGTCCTCATCCCTTTCTTTTCTTCTACCTCTCAACTCTTCTGACAACATGCTAGAACAATTCAATCCCCTAACACCAGACTGTGCAGACTGGGATGACAAATTCTTGGTCTCCAACCCCAGCTAGCACCTTAGCCCTGGTCGGCAATCATTCTGATAATATCAGAAAAAGTTGTCAGTACCTTTTAGAAAAGGTGCAAAAGTTGCAACAAAGAAAGAACAAAGTTCTGATACCAACCCAAAAGCTCCCGTACCTACAACTACACATCCGTCTAGTACACATCTGTGACATGTCTACCACTGATCAACACTATGCTGTCACTGAGGACACAGAAGTGCAAGACATTGTCCTTGCCCTTAAGGAAAATCTCTGTAGAGTGAAAAGCCAGATGAGCCTAGAGCTGTGGAGGCACAGATGAGAAAAGAAAGTTGCTATGGGATACACCTGAGGGTCACTTGATGGACCCCTCCCCTGGGTTTCTAAACAAGAATTCTACCTGAACTCCCAAACTCAGGTCCAGCTCCTTCCAATCCATCCTCCCAACTGCTGCCAGAGGGGTCTTTTCTGAAAACACCGATCTTCAGTCGCTTCTTGGCTTACAACATTTCAACGACTCCCAGTGGTTTTCAGGCTATAGTTCTAAGCCCTCAGCCGAAACCTCCAGTCTCTTCCCGACAGCTTTCGCTTAGTTCTCCAGCACCTTGCTCATAGCACTGCCACTTCACGTCTGTGAAACTCCCGGTAGTTCTTGAAGGTGATTGGGTATGCCCTTTCCCCACCCCAAATACCCCTACTCCCCCACCTCACGCTCCTGAGACTCAGCTCTGGTACTGCCCATCCTCAGACTCAGGCGGCACGGGACACTCCCCTCTCCTCCCAGGGCTCCCAGGAGCACGGGGGCACAGCCTGCCACCCAGCATCGCACAGCTCCTCCTGTCCATTCAAGGCTGCTGCTTTGGGCCACAAAGTCGGCTGAGTGAGCAGATGTTAAAGGAAGATGTTAAAGGAAGCCTCCTGGGAGAGAGATCTGCTAGAGATGGAGATTTACTTCCCAGCCATAGGTGGTATTCACCGATGGTGTGGATGAGACTGTCCAGGGAGAAAGGGTCCAGAGGAAATTCAAGGGAGCAATGATACTGAAGAACTAAGAAGAAACAGCCAAAGCCATGGGTGAAAAGGGGAAGAGAAGAGGCTTTCAAGAAGAAGGAGTAATAAATAATGATCCTAATGAAAACCACAAGGTAGTATAAGAACCTTAAATGCCACTTTGAAATAAAGAAAGAAAGATTTATACTTTGAGTAGTTCAGTTCTAAATGTATTTCATAGCTTTATAATTCTTTAAAATTCTTATGGCACAGATACCTAACACCAGGAGGTATGTACATACATCATCACCATTATTATACAAGAAATATAAACATTAAAAGTGTACCTGACATTATTCGTAATAGCCAAAGAGTGAAAACAACCCAAGTATCCATCAACAGATGAATGGATAAACAAAAGGTGGCATATCCAGACAATAAAATATCATTCGATCCTTAAGAGGAGTTAAGAACTCAAACATACCAAATATGGATGAATCTTGAAAACATTACGCTAAGTGAAAGAAGCCAGTCATAAAGGACCATATGTTATGTAATACAATTAATATGAAATGCCAAAATAAGCAAATCTATAGTGATAGAAAGTAAACTGGTGGTTGCCAGGGTCTAGGGAGAAGAAGGAACGGGCAGTGACTGCTAATGAGTACAGGATTTCTTTTTGGGGTGATGAAAATACTCTAAAATTGATTGTGGTCACGGCTATACGACTCTGTGAATATACTAAAAACTACTAAATTGTGTGCTTTAAATGGGTGAATTGTATGGTATGTGAATTATATCTCAATAACACGGCTACCAAAACAAGTATATGAGTCAATAAAAGTTTCATACATCCTTTGCTTAGGACAGCAATCCTGTTAGCACCCATAAACATAACTCTAAAGTCTAAATGAATGCTCAGTTCTCAATACAAATTCTGTGTTGCCTTCGCTTGTGAACACTAGCCTCTTACATAAACCAGCAGATGAAACACCCAGCGTGGAGAGGGCTTTAATATTAGTTCCACATCACAATAACAACCTCTGTTGCAGAGCCAGTAACAAGCCAAAACCCCAGCTTCACTGCCCACCTCCCCACCTCACACAAAACGTCTGCCTGTCCATTCTCTATCTTGAATACCTACCCTCCCAAACCATGGGCATAGCTATGCTAGCTGAGTCCTTGCTTACTGGCAAGGACACTCAGGATCGCTTTCAGAAAGCAAAGGCTGGGCGCCTGGGTGGCTCAGTTGGTTAAGCGACTGCCTTCGGCTCAGGTCATGATCCTGGAGTCCCTGGATCGAGTCCCGCATCGGGCTCCCTGCTCGGCGGGGAGTCTGCTTTGCCCTCTGACCCTATCCCCTCTCATGTGTTCTCTCTCATTCTCTCTCTCTCAAATAAATAAATAAAATCTTAAAAAAAAAAGAAAGCAAAGGCTGAGGGAGGGGCACTCACCCACAGGAGCAACTCCCCAGAAAACAGACACAACCGGCCCCAACACACACATCACCCTCCTGCACACAAGGCCTTCTCAATCTGGGTGGTTGTTTTTTTTTTTATTTTAAACTGCATCTACAAAGATTTTTATAGTTGGGTTTCAAATTCCCTCAGTTAGCAGTTATAGGTTTTGATCTGTTCCTAATTATGGAAAAGAATCCTGGGATTGGTTCAGAGTGAAGGAACTTGAGTTTAACGTTACCATTTTTAAAGCACCAAGGTTTACATGAATTCTGAGTAGAGAACTAGATTTCCTCAGTTATTTTGCTTTAAAAAATGAGAGTCAGAGACAAAAAGGCTTTTGCCTGCACTGAAAGCCATACTAAAATTTAACCAAATGGCCTACGCTGCACTCTATTCTCTCCCTTCAATGAGTCTCTACATTTATACTGAATCTGGATAGTCTCTAAGTGTGCATGGGTGTGTTTTAAGAGCGAACTGCATCTAGGAAAGCTCAGGCTCTGAGATTAAGAGCAGTACAGAAAGGCAAAGCTCCCTCTGTTGAGCATACCACTTCATGTGCCCAGGAAGACGCAAGCTCAGCCCTCCACAGGCACACCCCCACATACGGTCCCAAGTACAGAGATCCGGTGTCATGTGAAGACACCGAGAACACACAATGTCACAAATCTAGTCACGCTGCCTGCAAATACTACAGTTAGTTGTACCAAAGAGCAAAAAGACACAGTTCAAACAGAACTTACCTGCTTGTTCAAGGAGAGCTTGGCAAGCTAAGTGGTGAGCATGCCATAGTTTATTTTCGAAAGTGCTCCTGAATACAGCTTTCTTAAGTGGATCTTATTCAAGTAAGTGATCTAGCCCGGGTAAAGAGCCCCCGAAAATCAAGCAGCAAATCAACATCTCTTTGACTCTTAAACTTAAAATTAGTACTTTAAAAAAGTAAGTGTGGGGAAGAGATCCCTCTAGAAGGAAATGCTCTAAAACCATTTCAGTGGCTTTCAGAGGGTGGAGCAACAGAGTATTGGGAGGAAAAAAACTAGAACTCAGCATTGGCAACAGCACGACTATCTCCAGCATAAGAGCCTGTTTATAGGCACAGAGCCCTCTTTTCAAATGGGAAAAGTGTCAGCAGTATAAGTTAAGATTTTCACTAAGAATCTTAAAAATGTTAATCATTTTTCAGCTATACACAACAAAGTCTGAAGTTCAGATTCAGAAATAATAAGGTATGTCAGTATGAAAATAATCTCAACTTAAAACAAGCCAAGAAATAATATTTACTAGACCTCAAATCAAGTATTTTATGAAATTGGATAGTGTTAGATGTTACCAAATTGAAATTGTCTGACTGGAGCCTAGAGTTCAACCTTTATGGGGTCAAACAACCTAAATCCCTGGTTGGCACCTAATACTCCCTTTACCTTGGTGTTGTGTACGCTCTATAATCCCTCCCCTTGAGTGTGGGTGGGCCTGACCCAATCAGGTGAATGTATTTATTTATTTGTTTATTTTTAAACACAGGGCCTGAACTCATCACCCTGACATCAATACCTGAACCGAGATTAAGAGACACTTAACCGACTTAGCCACTGAGGCGCCCCCAGATGACTGTTTTTAAAAGAGGTTCTTGAGGTCAATCAGGAAAAATCAGAAAAAGTTGAAACTTCAGTAGATATATCTGTATTTTTGGTCAAAAGTTTTAACTTTTAAATGTTATAGAAATGGAATCATACAGTATGTAAATTTCTAAGATCCCTGCCCCCAACTCAGCAAAATTTTCTTGGGATTCATCCAAATTGTTGTATCAATAGTTTGTTTCTTCTTACTGCTGAGTGTTACTCCATGATAGAAAATAAATAAATAAAATCTTCAAAACTGTGGCCAGTTTGCAGACTGCTGGGGGTCGGTGCTGCAGGACTGTTCCCAGGCTGCAGAGACTCTTCCCCGTTGTCTGCCCAGCTCGGCTCCACAATGCCGGTGGACCTCAGCAAGTGGTCCGGGCCTTTGAACCTGCAGGAAGTGGACGAGCGGCTGCAGCATGCGCTGCAGGTCAAATACATCAGGACAGAGGTTGACAAGCTGGTCAAAGTGCTGACACCCACCCAAATTAAGAACCGGCCTGCCAGTATTGTGTGGGATGGCCTCGTTCCAGGTAAACTCTACACCTTGGTCCTGACAGATCTGGATGCTCCCAGCAGGAAGGACCCCAAATACAGGGAATGGCACCATTTTCTGGTGGTCAACATGAAGGTCAACGACATCAGCAGTGGCAGAGTCCTCTCCAATTATGTCAGCTCTGGGCCTCCAGATAGATCTGACACAGGCCTTCACCACTATGTCTGGCTGGTTTATGAACAGAATGGGCCACTGAAGTGTGACGAGCCCATCTTCAGCAACCGATCTGGAGACCCCTGGGGCAAATGCAAAGTGGCATCTTTCCACAAGAAGTACGAGCTTGGGCCACCGGTGGCTGGTACGTGTTACCAGGTGGAATGGGATGACTATGTGCCCAAACTCTATGAGCAGCTGTCTGGGAAGTAGGGGAATGCTAGGAGACAGAAACCGTCCTGGAAGTCTCAACCAGTGTTCTCCAGTTCAGTGATGCATGTAGATTTCTCAGGTGAGGCCTGAGCAATCAGATAATGGTTTAGAGTGACTTTTCCTTCTGCCTGTCCTTTATAATTCTAGAGGGTCACGCCTCCGTTTATGTTTTGATCACATCTGAATGCTATTTTGGGGGATATTTTGGTACTGTGTTGGGGTCATCAATTCTTTTTTTTTTTTTAATATTTTATTTATTTATTTGAGAGAGAGAGAGAGAGAGAATGAGAGAGAGAGAGCATGGAGGGGGAGGGTCAGAGGAAGAAGCAGACTCCCCGCCGAGCAGGGAGCCTGGTGTGGGACTCAATCCCGGGACTCCAGGATCATGACCTGAGCCGAAGGCAGTCACTTAACCAACTGAGCCACTCAGGCGCCCGGGGTCATCAATTCTTAATATAAGAATAGCAAACCAGAATTTAAAGAAATAAAAATTCAGATAAAAAGACCAGGTCTATAGTAATAGAGGAGAGCGTCAAAGAATCTTTAAGGGAGGTTTAAAAAAAAAAAAAAGATTCATTGCCTCTGCTTTGTGAGCCTGAGTCTGGAATTGTGCATGAGGGCACTTCTGGGTCGTGTTTTCACGGCTGTGTCTCTCACCAAGACAGCCAGAGGCTGGCATGTGCACTAACCCCCAACGTGGTACATCTCGGACTATATTACTAGGGATCAGTGTCTTGTTCTAGCTCCTCTGAAGAGCAGTACTGGGAAGAGCAACAGGGAAAGTGGCTTTGTAATTAAGACACAGCCATCTAGAGCGCCTGGGTAGCTCAGCCATTAAGCGTCTGCCTTCAGCTCAGGTCATGATCCCAGGGTCCTGGGATCGAGTCCCACATTGGGCTCCCTGCTCGGTGGGAAGCCTGCTTCTCCCTCTCCCACTCCCCCTGCTTGCGTTCCTGCTCTCGCTATCTCTCTGTCAAATAAATAAAATCTTAAAAAAAAAAAAAAAAAAGACACAGCCATCTAGATGAGCTGCAGGGCTGCGTGAGGCCATTGTCAGAAATCCCTAAGTCTGTGTCTGTGGAAGTCTTGTCTATAGAAAAGCCGATCTGGAGTTGCGGATTATTGTGTTAATTCTGCTGTTTGCTTATAGTTAAATAAAAAGAAAAACATTGTGTGGATGAAAAAAAATCTTAAAAAGTGTTAAAAAAAAAAAAACAAGTCAAAGGATGCAACTGAGAAAGAAAAGGACATGAAAGGACTCAGTTAAAAAAAAAAGATGTATCCTGAAGATAAACCTTTATCACCGGAGTCCTTATCAGAATCAGATTATATTGAGGCGGTATGGGCAAAAAAGAAGAAAAGCAGTGAAGAATGAGAAAAAGTAACAGTAAGGGCGCCTGGGTGGCTCAGTTGGTTAAGTGACTGCCTTTGGCTCAAGTCATGATCCTGGAGTCCCGGGATCGAGTCCCACATCGGGCTCCCTGCTCAGCAGGGAGTCTGCTTCTCCCTCTGACCCTCCTCCCTCTCATGCTCTCTTGTCTCTCATTCTCTCTCTCACAAATAAATAAAATCTTAAAAAAAAAAAAAAAGAAAAAATTACAGTAAGAAAAAGCAAAAAAGAAAAAGCAGCATAAAAAACAGGATAAGGAAAAAAAGATGGCTGCAAGTTCAAGTCCTGACTGGTCATAACAAGAAAAATCAGGATTCCTTTATAAAGAAAGTGCAACGTCTAAGGAAATTTCAACTGTAAGAATTAGGACATAATTACTAAAATGCATGAATGTTCCTGTTTTTAGAATTAGTCCTGGACTATTCAGTAGCCACGTGGATGCCACTGTGTGAAAGGGCCATAATTGTTGCCTGCTGCTTGAACATCTATTTTTTTCCCTTCCAGTGCTTAACAACTCCGGGAGATATTACACTGCAGTTGTGCTAGTGGTTAAGATATTTGGGGATAGGGGCGTCCGGGTGGCTCAGATGGTTAAGTGTCTGCCTTCAGCTCAGGTCATGATTCCAGGGTCCTGGAATCGAGCCCCGCATCGGGCTCCCTGCTCAGCGGGAAGCCTGCTTCTCCCTCTTTGTCTGCCTCTTCCCCTGCTCATGCTCTCTCTCTCTGTATCTCTGTGTCTCAAATGAATAAATAAAATCTTTAAAAAAAAAAAAAAGATATTTGGGGATAAAGTTAACATTGCTGACTAGAAGTATCTCATGATAAATTAACAGAAGTTGAATCTGGATACATCATTAAGGTATAATCAGAAATGATCAGGTGACTCTAGAGCACATTTTTGTAACAAACTATAGAAATGATCCCTGAAAGTAGAGTCTTAGATAACATTTTTGAAATAGGGATCACACTGATATTTCAAAATCCTTACTCTATAGATAAATGTATTTTAATTTTTCCCCTTCTATACTTTTATTTACCTGGGGAAGGAGCTTTTGCGGGGGGGCTGCTAACTCTTCAGCTAGCAGAAGAGCATGCTTTTTATCCTCACACATCCTACTTCTGCAGACACAGTAGCCATGCCTCATGGGGAGGGCAGAGCTGGGTACAGCACTCTTGCCATCGGACATCCTTGGACTCTGTCATTTGCTACTTTAAGTGAACCAGAGAAATAGGCCTTTGCAGAATGACAGAGCCCCAAAGGCTCTGGAATTTACCTCCACTTCAGTAATGCTGAATGTTTTTTAGCATTAGGAAGTGTTATAACGTTTGAATTAATTTTGACTACACTTTGACTTTGGAAGGGAATCATTTCAAATAGATACTGGTACTTTTTGAAATTGATTGCCAAAAATTCTAAAATGCATGTTTTATAGTGTTAGGTTTTAACTAGTCAGGAATATTTTATGTAACCAGTGATAGTTATTTTTGTTTGGAATTTGGTTTAGGTTGTAATGTTTAGCTTTTATTAACTCCTTATTCCTTGCTGTATTTAATGGCATACTTGCCAAGATACCTGGCATGTAAAACAAACAAACAAACAAAACCCCCACAAGGCTTTTGGGGTGCCTGGGTGGCTCAGTCATTAAGCGTCTGCCTTCAGCTCAGGTCATGATCCCAGGGTCCTGGGACTGAGTCCCGCATGAGGCTCCCCGCTCAGCGGGGAGTCTGCTTCTCCCTCTACCCCTCCTCCCTGCTTGTGCACTTGCACTCTCTCTCGCTCTCTCTCTCAAATAAATAAATAAAATCATTTAAAAAAACAGGCTTTTGATTTTTTTTTTTAAACAGCTTCATACTGAAGCTGAGACTTACCATAAACAAGTTGAGTGGCAGGTCTGGTATGCTATGTCTTGTTACAAAAAGCTACTGCCAAAATCTTAGTAAACACAATATTTTAAAAAGTTGTCTTTGTATATTCATAACAAAGTATGACAAGTGAGAATTACATTATGCTCTTCCTGTGTCATATTTTACTAAAAATTTGTATCTCGTCGCTCCTGTTGAATTGTTTACTAGTAATGTTAAACAGAACTGATAAATCATTTTTACTTTATATTTTTATATAATCAGGTAACATGAAATATAATTTGATGTACAATTTTGCCTGTTACAGAGGGCGTGCATTATAGTGGTATATACACAAAACATTTTGGCATGACAAGAGGCTGAATAAATAGCTATTTCACTTTAAAAGGAAAAGGCTGTGATCCCTAATAAGTTGATTTTGTGTAAGATGTGATGATTAGGCCGAAGTTCATTTATTTGTCGATGGTTGTCCAATTGTTCCAGCACCACTTATTTGAAAGGCTATCCTTCTTCCACTGAATTGTCTTTGTTCCTTTGTCAAAAATCAGTTGGACACATTTATGTGGTTCTGTTTCAGGGTTCTTTTCTATTCCTTGATCTGTGTCTATCCCTCCACCAATAACCACAAAGTCCTGATTACTGTAGCTAAACAGTAAGCCTTAACATTGTGTACAGTGATTCCTCCCACATTATTCCTCTTTTCCACACCTGTTACAGCCATTTTAGAAGCTCTGCTTTTTTGTATAAATTTTAGAATAAGCTTGTTTATATCTTCAAAAAAAATCTTGCTGTGTTATTTAAAATTTTTAATAATTGGGGATGCCGGGGTGGCTCAGTCAGTTAAGCGTCTGCCTTCGGCTCAGGTCATGATCCCGGGGTCCTGGGATCGAGTCCCACATCAGGCTCCTTGCTCAAGGGAGCCTGCTTCTCCCTCTGCCTCTGTCTCTCCCCCTGCTTGTGCTCTCTCTCTGACAAATAAATAAATAAAATCTTAAAAAAAAATAAAGATTTTTATAATTGGGTCAAAAATATTTAAGATAAAATTTACTGTTTTAAGCATTTTTAAGTATATGATTCAGTACTTAAGCACAGATGCTGCAAAGATTAAAGAACAGTGTGAATACCTTTGTGTCAATACATTTGAAAAAATGAAATAAATTAATGCCTAGAAAAAATTATCTTAAATGACTGAAACAGAAAGAGAAAACCCAAGATATCCTACAACTTTTAAAGAAGTTGAATCAACAGTTAAAAAAAACTTCCACAAATAAAAAATACTAATGATTTTACAAGGGAGATCTATTAAGTAAGTATTCAAGGTTCACATAATTCTAATCTCATATAATCTCTTCCAGAAATGAGAAGAAATCTCCTCAATTTATAATTATTAAAGGTTAGTTTAACCTTGATACAAAAATGCAACAAGGACAGCAAAAGAAAACTAGATGAATGGTGGTGGCATTCAGAGAAAGGAAGCATGGGGTTTGGGGCTAAGGTCACAAGAACGACTACGTGCCGACAGCAGGAGCTTGTGATTGTCCAGTTAGAGATGTCTAAGCAGCGACCGAGAATACTGGTCTGGAGCGCAAGGAGAAGCTGGGCTGGAGACAGAACTGAGAACCACCCGTACAGAAAGAGCACCGGGGGCGCCTGGGTGGCTCAGTCGTTAAGCGTCTGCCTTCGGCTCAGGTCATGATCCCAGGGTCCTGGGATCGAGCCCCACATCGGGCTCCCTGCTCCGCGGGAAGCCTGCTTCTCCCTCTCCCACTCCCTCTGCTTGTGTTCCCTCTCTCGCTGTCTCTCTCTCTGTCAAATAAA